ATATATATATATATATATATGTTACGGGCAATGTATTACTGAGAGCATTGTATAGAATGACTGGGCAATCTGTGAAATATATGCTCATTATACACATTGCCCAATTTACGTGGGCATTCTATACAATGTTCGAAATATATCATTGCCCGTAACATATAAAAATGATTATTACTCATCTACAATTTAAATCATCTTCGAAAAAAGTAAATTTTCCAGAAATTAAAAATTAATTATTATTTTAATCAAATATCAGAATAATTTTTTTCTTTTCAATCTTTCATAATTGTTAAGCGGTACTTTTTCGTTCTAATATAATTAATTTATGTTAGTGTATGTATGTGTATTGTTTTATAAGAATTTATAAGTTTTTAATTTAATAATAACTCAAATGAATAATTTAATACTTTTGAAAGATACGATTAATTATATTATATGAAATATATGAGAGAACAAAATATTATATTTCACGCAATCTTAATTGACATATATAGAATTATTGTTCTAAATCATAAATATAATCAATTGCAGTAAGGAGGTAGAAAATATAGATTAAGACTATTATAATACAGTGTGCCTCACTGAAATGCAAAATACTGAAGTGTTATACAAAACTTTTATAAAAAATTGATCTTATAAAATAATAATAGATTGTGAACAAAGGAAGAAAAAAATGAAAAGAAATTTAAAAGAGAAACCAAGGAAAAATATAATTAATCAATTATTTTCGACTTTGAGATAATAAATGGCAGACGCACGCGTTCATTTAATGTTTCAAGTTTTCGTATAATTATTATTTACTGTTCTTTATTTCTAAAAAATAAAAAATGATTATGTCTTTGATGGGAAAAATATAAACTAAAGAAAAAGAATGATTTATAGCATAAAACTTTCAATAAGGCAAACTGAGTGACAATGTTTTTTTTTAAAACTTATCTCACGACAATACGTGAAATCATACTTACTGTGCAACACTGTGATTAACGTAAAGATTCACAGAGTAATAGCATCCAATGTGTGCGAATTCCGAGATGCATTCTCCTTTGGCGACGTAGTAGCAACATTAACTTGTTTAGTAACATTATTAGTAAATGGCATAGCGAACTTAAAATCTGCACCATTTGGTAATTTGCGCATGATTTTTCCAGATGTAATAAGTCGTCCGAAACCTTCTTGATGTGCAAATGCGTAACCCGAACGCAAAGATCGTCGCGTGCGTCTCGTTGATGGAGTACGTAAAATGTCCTGACTCTGTCGAGAACGCAGTTGCGCTAATCTTTGTTTCAATCTTACTCTATCGGAGAGTGTTGGCTTAACATCCATAAAGAAGAACCTCCATGAAAGAACTGGTATCACTAGGATTATACATGTTATAACTGTCGTGAACCAAAATGTTGCTTCTGACATAGCCTTTAAAGAAAAATATATATTTATATATTAATTATGATTTATATTACTTTACTATGCTTCTTTATGTATTGGGTTGTTCGGACAAATTCATGCCAATTAATATTATATAATATATTTGTCTCAAAATCAGGAAGAACTTTATAAACAACTTAATGTCAATTTAATGGGCACCTCTAATGGGCAACAAATTTGTCCTGATTTTGAGAAAAATGTATTTATTTAATACATATTTTAATAGATACTCTGTAACTGGTGGTACAAGTAAGAAAGATTGCATCAAAGTTACGTCAAAGAATTTAGAATGTTTGCAGCAGAAGTTATGCTGCAAAAGAAGTGAGTGTAGCAGGAAGAGAAGAGATCTTCACAGTTTAGAAGGCGACTATGACCACTAAGAGCTCGCATGAGAAAAATGAAGATGATGCAGTAAGAATGGCATTGCCATATGCAGTGGAACCCAAAGTGGAAAAACTAATACACTCAGGACCTGGGGTTCTATCTACACCACACTCCTCTCAGGTCTGACTCTTCTTGCGAAGATTTTTTACGTTGTCAAAAAAAAAGGAGGTTGCATTAGTGATTCAACATGAAAAATTATATAGAAAATGTAAAATACAATTTATTCATAGAAGACTGTTTTAGGAAAAAATAAGTTTGAAAAATTCGTCAAGTACACGTAAACTTGATACAGTTTCAACTCAATAGATTTCACTGTCTTACTTTAGTATATTTTGGAAAGCATTTTTTTGCTTCTTAATATGTTTACAATTAAAACAAGTTCAGTCAAGTGCAAATTAATATTATTAAGAAACAAAACTCTATATGAAAGAATTTTATTCTACATTTTCGACTTAGTTTTTCATGTAGAATCATTTCCTACTCGCTTGTATCACCAATTACAAGACATCTTGTATATATTCATAAATTGACACAAACTTTCCAGACAACTCAATATTAACCCTTTGCTCTCAGAGTATTTTTTACATTCACAAGTAGTAAACTCTACGTACTTTTAGGAAAATAAAAATAATATCGCTTGACAATTAAAAAACTTAATGAATACTTTTAATTAAAAATGAAGAATAAAATAAAGTAATAGATCCAAATATTTTTACAAAACAAGAACAAGAAATATTGAATATTTATACGAAACTTATCAAAGTAACAGTACCATCTAAATTTATTATTTTTTATTATTATGACCACAAAAAAGTACGATATTGCTAGCAGTATTGGTAGTCGGAGCGCAAAGGGTTAACTTATTACAAAAGTATGTTGAAATACGTACCATTGTAAGACTGCCAGCGTAACTACCTCCTATGACGAAGTTATAAAAGTAATCTAAAATAAAATACCATATCAACGAGCCCCACACCATAATATGATTAACAATTGTCCAATATGATGTGTCAAGAGCAATTTGAACTGTTACAACTATAACTAATATTGTAGCTACAACACTGCCCAGCAGCATATGGTCTGAAAGTACATAGCCCTTTGGTGATACTCCATCCTTGTATGTTCCTAAAATCAATTGTATTTTTATTAGTCTATTTTATTCATATGCTTTAATGTAAAATAAAATATTTTCAAGCCAATACTCTATACTATTTTTTAAATATTATGTTTCGTTCTTAAACAAATATCGATAGTCTTGATTAATAAATTGTGTAAAAAGTAAATGAAATAATATAATTAAAAAAAAAAAAAAAAATGAGTTACGACCAATAAAAATTGTTAAATGTGGACAGAATTAATACTTACCATAGGGTACTAAAAATAACACGCAACTAGCAAAAAAACCATGTAGAGCGCTCCAACAAAATTCTTTTTTGTTAAAGAGAAGATTTTGAAGTCCAGGTGCATATAGCTTTGGATACATTAGGCTATTTTTATCATTAACATCTTGATCAAATATGCCAACCGCCAAGACTGGTAGTGACGTATAAAATAGATTATAGACAGAAATGTACATTGGATCAAACACTGTCTGAAAAGTGAAATGGAAAAAAATGATAAATATATATTTTCTTCTACATAAATATATACTTATAAAAATATAAATATATGCATACATTCATTCACAAATATATACAACACACATCAGATTATTATATTTAAGATCATATTCTTTGTCTCAACTTTGGAACAATTTTGCTCTAACAAAGAAATTTTAAAGAATCGCATTCGCCTTCAAATTCATCATTTATGTTATTTGTTTAATTTTTAATACATTGAACATTGATGCTCACATTGCTTCTCCATAAATAAATTTTTTCAAAATGACTGTTGATACAATTTTTTACAGACTTTTGTCTGTATTTTGTTAGAAGTTAAACTAATACAGAAAAAATTAACGATGTCAAATAAAACATATTCATGCGTTAAACATATTTACTTTGAATAAAAAAAAAATTACGCAATGAGACAGAGCTGGTGTTCAATGTATCAAGATTACTATTTCAAACATACCTGTGCGCTGAATCCACAGAAAAAGGCGAACCAGATGTGGCAGAGAGTGAATGCAAAATTTTTATAAAAGAAGTACCTAAGGAACTTGCTCATTCTATAATATGACCACCTGCCATGGACAAGTAACAATCTTTCTAAAAACCTAAATTGCCCTATCGAATAATCGGAGGCTAGTACAGCTTGTAATCCTTCCTGTCCACTGATACCAACGCCAATATGAGCTGTCTTTATCATAGAAACATCATTAGCTCCATCTCCAATCGCCAAAGTGACAGCATTTTTATTCTTCTTAATTAATTCAACGACCATTGCTTTTTGTAAGGGTGTTACACGACAACATATCACAGATTTACCTAGAATTTTGTCATTAACAGTTAAAATATTAAACATTAAAACATTAAATAGTTCACACACACATTAATATAAGTTAATTTAGCAAATACAATATAAACCATCGATTATTTGAACATAGATAATTCGAATGACTGTTTATCCGAATATAGAATGATTTGCTCATTTACGTTCTTCCACTAATGTATTTAACAATGCTAATGCTATGGGACACGTAACTTAGTTACTTCGAATGCCCGAATTTAGTTATTTGCCTAAATTTAATGTATTCATATGTATAGATTTTATTTATACGATGAGTAGTAAAAGAAAAAGGTAGATGTTAAATTTAAAACATAAGTTGGTTATCATTAACCATTTGAGTGCTGAATACTTCTGGCGGAAGCAATCCGCATTCAAAATAATGCATATATGCATCCTTAGTTTGCACTGATACTTTCCACTGGACACATATGCGCCCATAGCACTCAAAGGATTAAACATTTAAAAAAAGATGAATATTCGGATAATCGATGTTCTACCATGTAGATTAATTAGTATTGAACTTACATTGGCTTGATACTTCGAGAAAAAGTTGATCAAGCTGTGGATGCAATGCGTGCACTAAGGAATGTCCATTGATAACCACTGCAAAACCCATAGCTTGCTCCATTTCATGTTCATCCTGCTCGTCTCTACTCGGATTATATTCCGTATCACTGCTGTATACAAAAAAATATTAGTTTAAAGGAAAAGAGCCTTGTCCTTTCGTCACTAATGATTTTATAGTTGTTCGTAAAATTGTTATAAATATAAAGAGACAATCAAAAGTTTGATAATATCGAGTAAAAGGATTTTTGCAATTTCTTGAATCATTCACATATTTTGAATCAGGATACTTGGAAAAAAGATTGATCTCCAAGGTAAAATATAATATACATTAAATTTTAACGATAGACATGGTGCACAATATTAGATTCTACAAGAAACAAGAACGTGACATAAGCAACATAATTTGAAAAAAATTTTGTTATAATAATTATTTCTAGGATTAATGTTAAGCATACAGAAAGAGAAGGAGTGAGTATCAAGCATCATATAGTAGTCATCGTTATCTTTCATAAATTTAACATTTTTCTTTTCAATGAAACACTTCCAATGAAATGTATGTTGCATTTTGGTAGGTACATCTAAAACCTAATCTACCATACTATGACATCTGCAGTGTATAATACTATCTTCGACAAGCAGGTAGTGGGCATATAGTTTATTTTTCTTTATAATGATAATAATATTTAAACAGAGAAGAGAGAGAATTTGATAACTTTAATAATTTATAGAAAAGGATTTGTTTGGATGCTCGAATCGCATGCAGATACATTTTAATATTTACTATTTTAACGAAAGAAGAATAAAGGATACCAGGATCAAAATGTATAAACATGATACTATAGCACATACCATGGTCTAAGCAAATTCGTAGCACAATATAATTCTTGTTATACCTTTAGAATGCCTTCAGGTAAATGCCCAAGAATGTTTAATTCAAGAAAAAAAAAAAAAATACTAACATTCAGGATACGTATAGAAATAATAATTTGGAATAGATTTGTGTGTTCTAATAAAAAGATTAGATTCTTTTTTCATTATAATTCTTTGGCATAAACCAGACAAAGAAAGCATTACACAATACATGGTGACACATTCAATGTAAAGGTATATCTTTTAATAAACATGTTAATCAGTCAGAATTAGATATGAAAAAAGGGTAATAGACTTTACTCCATCTCTTTCAATTGCCTGACCTTTCCTTGTCCCACCTGAATGTGACAATGGAGAGAGTTGGCCGATTCTGATGGCTGGAGGCTGTCTTGATAGTTTCCAAATATCGTGTCAATTGAGTTTCAACCCCATCATAAGTAGTAGCATCTACTACGAAGACATCGGTCAGATCATCTGTTAGCAGCTGACACGAGTAACCAATGTTGATGGCCGTTTCTATGATAAAAGAAAGACACATGAATGGTGATATCTGTAGTACTAATAGCAGTAAAAAGCAAAACTTCATTAATTAATTATAAGTAAAAGATATGATAAATACAGTAATCTTTTCATTCACGCGTTTGAACTACCAGTACCTAGATTTTACTACAATATATAATGAGCAAACATAAATTCGGAGATAACTTACAATGAGTGTAATTTATTCTGTAATTGTGTAAATTTATTTGCAGTTGTGCTGCGAACATTTGCAGTGAAATAAGAAATTTGTGAGATGAAAAATAATGGCATTAACAAGAAATACTATTAAGAAAATGAAAAATGCAAGAACCTGGATAAGTTTAGAAGTCAAATTAAAAATTATCCAAACATTAGAAAAAAGTGAAAAAATTAATAATATCGTTCGGTTGTATAATCTGAATGAATTCACAATTCGCACAATTTAATAGAATCATAATGCATTTCATGGTTTTATTTACATGCTGTTTTTGTGAAATCAATTATTCGCGTTAATAATGAAAGGATTACTGTAAAATTATAAATATAATAAAGTATGAAAAATAATGATTTATTATTTATACGATATTAAGAATAGTTATCTTTAAATTAATTTCGTAGAGTGCTAGATTAAATATATTGTCCTTATAAATTTACCTTGTTTATCACCTGTTAATACCCACACTTTTATGCCAGCGAGTCCTAAATTCGCGATGGTTTGGGGTACACCATCTTGTAATTTATCCTCAATGGCAGTAGCACCTAGTAACGTCATATCTTTTTCTATTTCTTCGTATATAGCGTCCAACTTGTCGTCTCTATTTTCATGACTCAAAGCGGCTTCTTGATGACGTTGTTTCCAATTATTAAAGAAGCTTTCATCTAAATCTCTCACTGAAAGGCACAATGTTCTCAAACCTTCACCTGCAAATTTATTGAGGTGATCCAAAGTCTTAGACATAATTTCATCACTATCTTTCTTCAAACGTTCGTAAATGACATTGTCTGCTCCTTTACAATACAGCCTAAGGTGTCCATCCTTTCTCAATATTACAGACATTCTTTTTCTAACGTTATTAAAGTCTAGAATACATAGTAGTTCATATATTTCACGCTTTCCCATTACTTCAATCGTTATGCTATTTGGTGATCTTTCTTTAAAAACAAAACCAAAATTTCTTGCTGCAGATACAAGTGCTGCTTCGTCCGGCGACTGTGCTTGATACTCCAGTTTTCCGTGCTTCTCTTCTGGCATAACGGTGTGACATAATGCTAATAAGCGAAAGAAACTGTGAACATCTTGATTGCCTTGCTTGACAGCTTCCAAAAGCGCAGGATCATAGAATTTAAATTCAGGCTCGTAGTCTTTGTTAAATGAAAAATCCAGGGGTGGCATTGTCTGTAAAAGTAGAGAAATGACATTATATAAAATATTATTTACCTTGCAAAAAGATTTCTCTAGAGCCAGTAAGAAGTAAGAAAAGGAATAATATACATTTTTATTAGTACATAGAGAGAACCAGATGAAAAAGAAATACCAGAGTACAGATTGTATGCATGTATGCAATATATATATACCTCTCGCTATAATTCTATGATAAAAAAGAGCTTGTTGAAATACAGTGAATGGATGGTGTTAGTCGATTCGTCCTTGGATTATTCAAGAAAGTAGTACATGAAAGAGTATAAAAAATTTTGAAAGTATTTTAACCTACTAGGAGATGAGTGTGAGTACGACATAAAACATGCATCTATTTTTATTGCACAGCATAATTGAAACAAAAGACAATAAGAAACATAAATTTCTTGTTATGTCATTGGTGTATATTAAAACAATATGCGATATTAATGAATTTATTTAACTGAGAATTGAAAGTGTGTGTAGCGAGTATAGTAACAGAAATAAGAAAAAAAGTATAATTGAATTTTTGTATAGCTGGCAGGTGCGTGTCGAATATGAGCATGCGTACTGAAGGTTTGTGTTGAAGCTTTGGGCTGGCACTGATTCCTGGTTCTGGTGTTGTACTGGACATTCTGTCAGCTTGCTCCAGGAGACGCACATTTGGACCACTAAGCGGAGTATAAACTTGACGAACAAATTCTTGTCCATTCTTCCATCGCATTGTCGGAGTTTGTGCAGCTTTGTCCGTCTACATGCAGCACACACATGCTAAATGATGTGCATGAAAACTTACGCACAGTATGGATTTACAAAGAGATTGTGTTTATCTTTTTGATTTTTTTATTAACGTGTACTTTTGGTATTTTTCTTTTGGTTTTCTTTCTTTGTTGTACTTTAAATTCAATTTGCACTTAACAAAACAAAATTAAAATCTGATATCGCTGATAATAAAAAAAAATACAGTGATAAACTAAAATTATTGAAGTTAAGATTTCATTGTAATAATTACAGCAACGATGACAAATAATTACTTTGGAGAATGGATGAATACTAAAGTCCAGGATTCTGAGGTAAAGGAAGAAAATTTCATGATAGTGGCACATGATTTCTCTCTTATGTTAGATCAAGTATATTTTCTAATTTGTCCAAGTTCTAACTAAGTAAATTATATATTGAATTGCATACCATACTGTGCCACCTTGTATAAATATAAAAATGAAAATGAAGTCGAATTCACAACGTAAGAATACAGAAATGATCGAGTTTATAGCTCGATCAAATAAACAGAAACAGAAACAGAAAGAGGGACAAAAAAGAAACAGCTCCAATGTGTTTTAAAATGAGATAATTCAAGTATAAAGCATAATTTGAACCTCTTCGTTAATGGAGGAATGTTTATATGTTGCGTATGAACAGATTCACAATAAATGCACCTTTAGTAAATAATAGAACGACATTACATATATCAAAAGGGTATCTCACCTCGCTTAAATCGATGATTTCTCCAGTAACTTCATTGACAGAGTCACCGTAACATTTACCGGCCACAGAACACTTATTAAAGGTCATTATATTTTGCGTTAATGTTCCAGTTTTGTCAGAAAAGATGTATTCTATCTGACCTAATTCTTCGTTTAATGTAGTAGTCCTAGCCTTGGCATGTGTATTCGTAGGCGCGTAGTACATTTCTTCGTCCCAATTGATCAGAAACGATTGGACGAATCTGATAACTTCGACACTCACATATAAACTGATTGGCACCACTGTGTTCAATACAATAGCATATGAAAAGAATACAAGGAGAGCGATCACGGTGGCACCTCCTAAAGGTTCGGTAGGCACCAACGAGTCCCAGGGTAAATACACTTGAAAATATCTACCCACTAGGCTCTCCCAAATACCACAACCGATCATGCAAAACAAACACATAGAAAGCAAGAAAAACACTATTCCAATAATCAGAAGATTCAGCAGCCTATCTATAGAGGTCCTCTTAAATTTGGTCTTCCCTGAGTTTTGCATTAATTTGGTATCCTTGCCTGCAAAGATGACCACGCCGTAGCACCACTGTGTATTTCTCAATACACAACCTCGTAATATGATTTTGTCATTATCCAACGCATATCTGTAACATAAAAGGCAACAATTTGTTTAAGCATACTAAAAGATTGCACCATTATCAAGTAACTTCTGTTTTTTTTTTCTTGTTCATTTGTTTATTCTTACTTCCGTCCTCTCCATGTTAACGTGCCATCAAATTTATTCAACAAATTGTTAGGCGTTTCGCAAACGATTTCACCGTCGAATTGACCAATCAATTCGTGGTTGTCCATCATTTCGGCAGTCTCAGTCAAACATTGCCGGCATTTTAAATTCGTCTCACTAGAAGAATAACGAGAAATTAAATTAGATACATTGAATTGATCAATTTGCAACAACCAAAAATATTACTGACCCATCCAATTCTGCCGTTTCGATGTAACAGAGACCATTGGGTTCGCTCGTCGACAGAAGAAGAACATCTGCCGCAACAAAATGATCGTTCTCCATTCTTATAACATCCCCCACTTGAACCTGAGACCATTTCTCTTCACGTAGGCTAGTACCACGCAATGTTTGTGACTTTCTATTATTAACTTGCGAATCGCTGCTATGCCGTTGCTGAAATTAATACGAGTCAATAAAGAAAACGTAAATTCTTAAGAAAAAAAGAAAAAATATTTCGTGACAATTGGGAAAATAAAAAAATTACTCACAAAGTCGTCATAGGCATCCTTAACGGCAGTGAGCATAAGTACCCCTATGAGTGGTATAGCTGTTGTAATGGGAGTCAAAGAGGATATGGCGGGTATCATTTGAAGCACCAGCAGGCATAGGAAGTAAAAGTTGGCTAACCGCTGAAATTGCTCGAACAAATTCAATGGTAGGAACGTCAGAACCGAATACTTGGACGTTTTTATGTAGTTGTTCTATAAAAAAAAAACAAAAGAAAAAAAGGGAAAGATGCTTTATATGATTTTATATCTTATTAGATGACTTTGTGATATATGTACAGACGATTAAAAAAAAAAAAAAAATACAAATCAATTTAAACTTGAATTTGTTAATAAAATCGATCGATCAGATCTTACCGCATAATTAAACTGTGAGTTGTACTCGCGATTATTGGCGCGTATACGCCTCTCTGTTTCTGTAAGAATACACACATGTAATGATATTAATGTACAAATATATTAATAAATATCAGTCAAAACGATAGCTCGATGATTCTCATAAGAACAAGTAAGACGTTATTTTTCTCGATACATACATGGGAGACGAACCTCCCCCCTCCCCAATATTACGAGACAGATTTGATAGACGGTGTTTTGGTAGACAGGTTTCGAAAGATAGAAGAAGGATTAACGCGGTTAAGACTCACCGCTAGAAAAAAAAGATGTACTACGACCGATACATTCAGTGGCAGGTGGCGAATTCGGAGGCACACTGGAAGAGGACGAAGCTGCAGTTGCGGAACGATACCTGCTGCCCTTCCATATAACCAGTTTGCCTAATACAGTAAGCAAGGATTCCCTGAGGGTGGTATTGTGCCTACTGGTACCGCCAAGGCTACTCGATGAATCTCTTTTCGAACATTCGTCGGCTGCCTCGAGGACAGCTTCTTCAGATGAGGATGGAAGATTCAATACTGCATGAATCGCTAAGTCTTGCTGTTGTTCTTGCAATTGAATTTGCGTCTTGTTCCGCATTTTTCGTCTTTTACGTTTTTTCTTTCTACTTTCGTTTCCATCTTGAATATTAGTGTCCACGGCACACATGATACCTTCTTTTGCCGTTGTTACCGGTGCCGTTGTTGTCGAGCTCGTAGTCGTCGTTGTTGTTGTTGTTGTTGCTGTTACCTTCAATTTTACCGTAGTCGCTGCCGCCGCTGTTGTCGTTGCTGCAGTTACTGTCACCGTTTTTGTTGTAGCAGTTACAGTTACCGTTGATGCCGTTGTTGCCGCAATTTTCGTCGTCGTCGTCGTCGTCGTCGTCCCTGTTGTTGTTGCCGTCGCCGTCGTCGTCGTCGTCGTTGTTGTTCTTTTTCCTTCCGTAACATCGGTCTCGTCACACTCTTTTACCTTCGTCCCATCATAACGAAGAAAAGTTAGATAACAATTAAGGACGCATAAAGAGATAATACGATCGAAAACAGATCGCTTGGCACGACGACGCGTTGTGTAATAATATCCTTTTCCTTAAGGAATATTCCCCATACTTTTTTCTTTGCGATTATATTCGGTAGATAAATGACGAATTAATCTTAACAAATGTGACTACCGGAAACGAGTGCATCTATACTAATATAATATATAATCGTTTGACGCGCGTGCCAAACGAACCGCATAACAGGAAATGGTAGAGTCCGATGCAAGAGGCAGACACTGGAAAGACCGGTAATCAATTTGGAATCTTGAATATTTCAAAGATGGTAAAATATTCGTTGATAATAGAGAGAAACCAAACCAAGAAAAAAAGAAAAAAAAAAAGAAGGGTAGGATAGAAAAAAAGAAAACTAATAATAAAGGAGAAGGGTCATTTGTTTCGAAGGATTCTAAAAACTCTTGGTATTGTGGTGAAAGTTTGGAAGATCCTCTCTTTCGTGATAAATCATCATCATCATCATCATCATCATCATCATTAAGAGCATTCGACTCCGAGTCTTATTTGTCTTCGAGTATTTATGAGGACTCACCTCGAAGACTTCGAGTTCCAGCGTGTCGACCTCGACGCTCATCGTCTATCCTACGCAAGCTATAAACCCTCTCTATGGCCAACCTCTTCGTCTTCGTGGCACGTAGGAGGTGCCGAGGAGACGACGATGTCCGGCTCGCCTTTTACATTCTTCTTCTTCTCCCGTTTTGGACCCTCCTCTTCTTCGTCCCTCCGTATCATCGCAGCTTCCGCGAGGCATGAATCTCTCAAAGGACGTAACCCGCCCTTTACCGCGCTAGGTAGTATTACCACTGACCACTTTCTTCTCTTCTTCCTTTCCTTTTTTTTCTTCTTCCCAACAACTCCTCGTCGTCGTCGTCGTCGTTGTCGTCGTGGTCGTCGTCTTCTTCTTACCACCGCGAATGCTAACTGAGAGGCGCATTTTTAACTGCGCACACTTGAGATGATCGACACACTCGCCTAACGTTCCTTGCCTTTATCCCTTTCCTCCTGCATATTCTCCTTTTGGTTTCCCTCTTTTTTTTTGTAATTGATTTAGACCGATTTTTATGTTTTACGACTTACGATTAGTTTCTTCCATCGTCAGGATTCCTTTGAGTAACAAATTAAAGAGATCTCAATAATATGCCTTATCTTTCTTTTTTCTTTTTTTAAACTGGAAATTTTAAGATTAACGTTCGACGACAATGACAATGACTGTTACGGAATCTTTTTATCATCATAATTATTGTTTTTTATCTAACGACGATGATAATATAACACGCTTAATTTGTTTATTTTAATTATTCCATCAAATAAAGGGCGGCGAAACTGTTCAACCAATTAGCCGCGACTGACGAGTATACTCGTCATCCGGAAAAAGTAATTAACATTTGATGGTTAGCTAGGTTGATCTCTTTGAAAAGACTGTACCTTAATTGTGTCGCAAAAATCAAACAACGACGATGTATACTCGTCAAATAAAGAGTACGCGTTGTAACTGTTATAATAATATTGATTTATGTTCTAATCATAAATGACTGTTGTATTTTTTTTTTTTTTTCTTATATTCGCACGACGAGTATAATCGTTGTAATAAAAAAAAATATTGCAATTTATTTATGACGAGTGTATATATTCATCGTAACAAAAAAACAAAAAAATAATTGCAATGACATGTAAGTATACTCGTATTATAACACAAAATAGTGCAATTTCTTCATGACGAGTATACTCGTCAATCACAGCCTGACTATGGTCTAACCTGACTATGACTAACACAACTGGTTAAAGATCCCGCGATTCGAGATATGTTATATTTCCTTACAAACAGCGCCACTTACGTTTTCTTTATCTGCTTGTCACGTGACATATCTAGCTTTTTCTACACGCGTTCCACCAAACATTCAAACCAATTTGAAAAAAAAAAGAAAAAGAAAAAACTTACATGGAAAAGTGACACGATGAAGTTTACTTTTCACGTCTCTGTCCATATTATAGGCTAACACTTTTTCTTAACATCGATCCGATAACTCGTTTAATTAAACAACAATCTAAGGGTATACTATCATCAATACTTAAGGGCGTTTCTCCTGATTCTAACAATTATCGATCTTAAAATGTGATCCAAATCGTGAACAACAAGAAAAAGTGACGAATTGATAGAGATGCAATAACAATTAAATGCCTAAAACATTTTTTGTTTTCCTCCCCAAAAAGATATTGACGTTAACTCTCACATTTGTGTAATATAGAATAATTATTAGAAATTTTGTACAAAAGAAAGTGTACATACTCGAAAGAAAAAGTTACAATTCTCATGTGCATGCTGTTTATCATTGTCGTCATCGTCGTCATCGTTATATACTATCGTCTTTCACGTAACGATCATCCAAAAAGGGAATGGTTAGTGTTATCCAGGCTCATGAACGGTTGTTACTAGTTTAACGTAAAAAAACTGAAGAAGTAAACAGGATTCTGTTTGTAGAAGCTTGGGTAGACTAGAAAAATCAGGAGTAGTTGGTTAAAAGAAAGGTGAGTGTTAGTTGGGATAATTATTAAAGAATGATGAAGAGAAATAGAAATAGAAATAGAAATAGGAAGAAAAAGATAAAGAGAAAAGAGAAGGAAGAGGAAGAAGAGGTGGAGAAGGAGGAAAAAGAGGAGGAGGAAGAGAAAGCTTGGGGAGGAGAGAGGGGGTGAGGGTGACGGGAAGGGAGAGAGGAACGATCGATATCAGGCGTCGGCGGCGACGTCGTCCCGCAACACGAGGATCTCATCGAAGTTAGCAAATATCATTTGGCACCGGCTTTACGTACTACTATTTAATCCCAAATATAGTACCCAGAAGATGATGATATCCGATTGGAGTAGAATGACGTTGATGATAATTATACTACAATGACGTTTCCATGACGGCAGATAATAATACAGGGAATCAAACTAACGCATTTGTTTCTTTTCGGGAGGGGGAGATCTTCTGACTAAAGTACCAACACACTAACACCAATTATGAATAATTGGTGAACGTGGGAAATAAGATATGCTATAGGAAAATAGGGATTGGAATAAAGGAAAAATGTTAAGGGGGGGAATGAAAAGAATTGAAACACCATCACCCAAGTTGGAGTATCGTACGCGTAAAACAGTGTTCAGAAAGCCAATTTTGCACTCACAATCAGCATACACTCTAAACTGGAACCACCACTTTCTCTCTTTCTCTCTCTTTCTCTATCCGTTCTATTTTGTCTTTTTTTTTTTTTGGAGGTTCTTTATTTCTCTCTCTTTCTCTTTCTTTCTTTCTTTCTTTCTTTTTCTCGTTCCTTTTAACTGTACGTCTAACACGACGACGTCCTAGGTCGAGGTTCCACAACTCTCGTCGATGAGATTACGGTTCGACGGCCGTCGAAGAGACTTTGAGGCGTCGCCCCTCGACGGCGCCACGTGTCACGACGCTTACGCCAACGTCGTGGACACGACGCCGACGCCAAAGCCAAAGGCAAAGGCAAAGCTTTACTTAAAAAGAACCATAAGCGACATCGACTTAAGCCAAAACTAATATGCGAGAGAAGAGACCACCACCACGACGGATAAAGAAGATTCCTCTATTGACCACTTATTTTAAATAAAGCGGGAATTTCTAACCGTTAAAAATGACATTCAAATATTATACAAACGTAATATAACCATCAAACTTCCGCTACGAAATGCGCACAATCATTGAATTAACCATTTTTTTTTATTTCTTCTTTTAACGGCACAAATTTGATTGATGGCCAATCAATGGACTGACCTCCTACTCTTCTCCTCTTATTGAAAACAATTGGTAACGAATATTGATGTTTTAAATCATTTGAATGTTATGTACGCATATATGCGTCCCCAACGAAAGCAATCCGCGTTGAGTAAGGGCGTATATATATGCTTATCAATTTTTTCGATCTTCCCTTGCCTTGAAATTCTTTTTCTTCTTTTTCTTTCTTTTATTTAATCAAAACAATTAGTTCAATATTAACAGAAAAATCATTCCTCGTCCTTGGTGATTGCAATCGTTATGCGAGCTCCGCATTTAAAGGGTTAAAATATAATAAAATAATCTTAAGTGTATCACCTAATGTGTTTCTAACAATGAGTTGCATCTATGGTTTGGGAAAGTTTCAAGTATGACCCGGCATGTCCGGTCATGAATTTTTGATTTTTTTTCTTCTTTTTTAAATAGCAAGAATTGACTAACGGTTACCTTCAATCTCACCCTACGACCTGTGACTCTGTGATTAGGAGAGGGTCCAATTGTTCTTCTTATAAACGAAACCAAAGATCGCATTAATGTTTAAATACGTTTATTGTTTTCACACCTGAAGACTCTTTGTTTTTTTTCTTCTTAATCATCAATTTTCAACTGGCGCTAATGTGCGGCCAGCGAAAAAAAAGGTTGAGTACCCCCCCTTTTACTTACTATACACACAGTCTATCAATCCAATCTCTTCAGTTTTATATTTTTGTACCATAAGAAAAGAATCATCGAGTATCGAGAGGTATTGATGAGAAAAAAACAACAATTCCAAATTGGATTGTTGTTTTAATTGGGATTACAACTTGAATCTTCTAGGACACACCCTTCTCTCGATCAACTTTTTCACGAAAGTTTATTTATTAAGTTGTTCGGAAAGTAATTTTAGATTTTTGTTCAATGATAAAAGAAAAAACGATATATATTTTTGTTTGTTTCATATTAATTACAATCCAAATTATTTTAAATGATCTTTTATTGCCAAATTTTTTTTTTTACGTTTCCTTGAACACACCCCATCGTTATTATTACCCGTTGCGATAAAACAAAACAAAACAAAAAATTATTTTCGCTTTGATTTTTCCCATTTCTAATGCGATGCCAGAAATAAATAAACTACTCGACAAATGTAAAACGCAAGAAGATTCTAAATCGCGTCCATTGCTAAAATGTAAAATACATTTTGAGATTTATTTGTGCGTCTAACTAACGTAAACGCGACTAACTGAAAAAAAGTCTTTATGGTAAAGAAAAAAAAAAAAAAAAACCGAAATTACTTTCCGAACGAGCCAATATTTAGAACGAAGCTATTAGAATGAACCAAAAGTTTTCGTACGTTTTTAATATTAATATTTCCAAAATTAAATTTTACAAAAAGAAGACAAAAAAAAAACCAATCCATCATGCAATTTATAACACAATAAACGCACGAACTTTTGTTTCACCTTAATATTATAAGAAAAAATTCTCTTAAAAATGAAAAGAGTGGGAGGAAGGGGAACGGGGTGGGGGGGGGGTTAAAATAAAAAAATGGGCTAATAATAAAAAATAGAAAAAAAAAAAAAAAACTTCAAACTTACCTTGCATAGGACGCGTGGTTGCGCTGCGCGACATTTTTCGTCGACGATAATAATCGTTGATTAGGCTCGTTAAAATATTCGATTAGGCCCTTATATTGGACGGAGTCTTCTATCGATATGCTTTTTTTTATATGCGTGACGACGACGACGACAACAACAACAACGACGACAAAGACGCGCGTCGATGATGATGATGATGATGATGTTGATAATAATGATAATGATGATGGTGATGATGATGATGCGTGTATCGTAGTAAACGCATTAAACGTATTTGTTGGTGCCGACGCAGCGTCTTTCACGTCCTCGTCCTCCTCCTCCTCCTCTTCCTCCTCCTCCTCGTTGTCGTCGTCGTCGTCGTCACCGTCGTCCTCGTCCTCGTCCTCGTCGTCGTTTTCGTCGTCTTCGTCGGTAATAACAAAATAAGAAAAGGTATTTAAAGTTAACGTTAGTGGATAATAAGTTTTTGGACAAATCGTCGTCGTTGTTGCTACTGCTATTGTTTTTGTTTTTGTTTTGATCGTCTTCGTCGTCGTCGTCGTCGTCGTTGTTAACGGAACGGCGACGAATAGTCCTCGAAAATCGGCCAAAAAACGGCCTCGGAGGATAAGAGGAACTATCGTCCTCGAGCGTCGCGCTTCTCTCGCGCTCCGCTCGGATATTTCCTTCCGATATAATGACGATAAGGTATCCACTTTTGAGGATATGGGTGGTTTCTCGAGGGTGGCGTCCATGTGGGGTGAATGGTCACCTCCGGCCTACCCTCTTATTGCTGCTGCTACTGCTGCTACTACCACCACCACCACCACCACCACCACCGTCCTCGTCGTTTTCGTCTTCGACGACGCCACTGCCACCTCCTCCTCCACCACCTCCACCGCCACCTCCGTCCTCGTCTTTCGACCGATCCCACCTCCACCTCCAGGACCACCTTATCCTTCTTCTTTCGATACTACCTCCTCCTCCTCCTCTTCCTTCTCCTCCTACTCCACAACTTTTTATTCTCTGCGTACTCCTCCACTTTCCAAATATATACCTCCTATCGATGATTGTTGTTATTATTATTATTATTATTATTATTATTATTATCGTATAAACTGATCTTTTTTTTCTTTCAACTAATCCCTCCCTTCCTCCTTCTACTGCTTTTATTGTTATTCTTCTTTTTTTCTTTCCTTTTTCTTTTTTTTCTTCTGCTTTTGTTTTTGCTTCTGATTCTGCTTCTTCTTCTTCTTCCCAATAGCGATTTTTCCCAGAGGAAATTTTCGATAACCAAGCTGATGATGATGCTAGTCTTCCTCCGCTTCCGCCTTCTCTTCCCTCGCTATTGGACAATAAATGAAATACTGTTAGCTTAACCGAATTCCTTTAGTTGTGATTAGATTTTATACGATATACCAAGATTATTATATCCCACCACGATTCGATGGGTAACAAAACGTAAACGGAAGATGCAATTTGTTCGATCAGGCTAAAACCGTATACACTATTTACCTACAGTTTTAGTTACGCATTCAAGAATCCTTGATTCGAATAGCTAACTTTGTGTAAGACTGACGTGTCCCCCACCAATAGAAAACTCTAATCCCTCCGCGTATAAACATATTATACATATATACATATATATGGGTATATGTTCGTACGTATATACAGAGTGTCTCAGGTTTTTCTGATAAAACTGTTCAAACTTATTCTGCAAGTTGAAATAAGGACAATATGTCGTATACAAGTTTGTTTAAAAACTTTTGATCTCAAAGTTATTACGAATAACGTGATATAGTTTTTAAATAATATTCTTGATTTTAACCCTATGAGCGTCAAAACATACAGCCAATCAAGATTTAAATATCATTTTTTTTTAGGTTATAAATAGTAATAGGTAAAAAGTTAGGTTAGGAATTATTCGAAACTTTTATTACGATACGCGCTTCTTTTTTTTTTTTTTTTGATACGTTCCTGTCACCCGCTACGATTTGGAATTGCTTATGAACCGAGTAGAGCATTTGTTTTTTTTTACGCTCAAAAGGTTAAACTTAACGTTGTCTGCTTCATGAATGGATTTCCAATGAATTTTCAATAAATTTTCTTTTATAGAATATGCATGGTTTAACGTTTTTATATTTCTATTTCAAAATATTCTTCTCATACGCCCTTGAAATACTTCATACTCATAACTCTTGAAATATTTCAAGAGTTTCTATGATATGAATGGGTACATAACAGAGGTTGTGTCAGAGTCTTACTCATTATTGTATATAATTGGTAAATACTTTCCTTCATAACTTCGTAATAAAGTATCAAGTTCTCAAAGTTTGGCCGAAGAAACGTAAGACACCCACCCTGTATACTTCCTAGCGTTAGATTATAAATAAAGATTTGTCAGTTTGATTATATTATATATACATTAATGTATATAATTGAAAATAATTTTCTCCATAACATCGTAATAAAGTATCTAACATAAATTCTCAAAGTTTGGCCGAAAGAATATGAGACACCTTGTATATTTCCTATCGTTAGATTATAAATATAGATTTGTCAGTCGGCATCATTGTGTAGTTAAATTACGCGTTATTCTATTCTACGGAAAAGATTGAGAAATAAGAATGAACGTATATAGACGATCATTAATCATGTAATGGACCATGAAATAAGTTTTTTTTATCATTTTGATATTTTTTTCTTTGAATAAATTACACCGATACCGTCCTTAGAATTAATGATACAACATATTTACTGTGAATTTAATTGTATAATGCATTACAAAAATAGTATATACCAAAACTATAACCATAAGTGACCCAAAAATCATCAAATTTCTTAACTTTTATCACTTCTATGTCGAGTGTGGCTCGACATCAAAATTCTTATGTCGAGCTAAACTCGACATTATACATAGTATAATTTCTAAAATAATTTAGAACGTTTAAATTTGAAGTTAAAAAACTGCATATTAATTTTATATCATTTATGATTTGTTATAATTAATTGTATTATCAAATAAATCATAAAATAAATTGTTTGAATTTGTTGACCACTTGTCAGTTTATTACAATACCAATGTTTTTTTTTGCTTAATAAATTATCGTTTAAACGAGGATATATATTTTTTTTTTTATTAAAATGTAATCCGAGAAAAGGAAAAAATTTGGGCATCTCTGGGTATATAGAAACCCGTTTATCGTTGACAAGCTTACATAAAGCTAACATAAGTAAATAAAAGCATGTACACCAACCAATAGGATTATGAGTGTAATCGTATTTTATCTTCATCTTGCTTCATCGTTGAGTTTCGTGAAAATAGGTAACGTTAGGGAAACAATAGTCTTTCGTCATAATATATCAATTTACTTTTTTACTTCCAAAGATAGATATTGTTTTTTGCTTACTCAAAACGCGTGTAAGTAGGTTTACGTTTATATATATATATATGTATATATATATAGATGTATCTCGTGTAGAGATATATCTGAGACATTTGTAAATACAAGTATCTAAACGTTGTGTACATAATCATGATAACTGGTCGAGCGTCATCGATACAATGTCAAGAAAGCAAACTAATCTAAAAAAAAAAAATAATCTTGGTATATAATATTGCACATATATTAAGTTGCTTGGAAAGTTTTTGCCAATTTATAAATTTAAGATTTTTAGGATGAGTAATAATCGGACAAAACGTTTAGTTGAATATAATTTCTATGCATATAATACTCTCCATATAATTTTTAAAAATCTGTAATCTATGTGAGTACGTTAAGATTATGCTATTTTTAGATATGTGAATATAAGAAATATTACATTTCAGTATGATGCTTATGATCATTTGATTGTTTAAAGTTTTCATAAATTAAACGTAACACAAATGCGTATAGAAAATATATTTTGTTTAATAAAATAAATAGGATTAAATTTATAGGTAAATAAAATTTTGCATTAAATACTGAAACTCCTGACATTTATTTTGTAAATGGTGCCTCTTGATGTGTCCCCTAACAATATGATATATATTGATTAGATTTAAGTCATTATTATTTATATTATATTTTATTATTTTCATTGATATCACAGATTCTGTTTTTTGCAGTAAAATATTTATTTTTGTTCCTATGTTCAATTTTTTAATAACATAGAAGAACGTTTCCCGTATTTTGCTTAAAGTTTTGAAATGACATAGGATTACGTTTCTCATCGTGAAAATGTTAACGTGTAATAAATTTTTCTGAAACTCAGCAAAAACGGCACGAACATTTTCCATCGTATTCTTTTCTTTTTTG